GATCCTCCTGTCTTAGCTTCCTGAGCCACTGGGATTACAGGTGTGCGTCACCACACCCAGGTGTGACCTCAGTCTTAATGGACCTGATTAATACAGTCCCAGAGTGACGTTTATTGCTGTAGACAAGGACCCTCACTTTTGCATAGAAGTTGTGATTGATCTTTGGAGAGCTGGGGTCAGGATGGGCTCATGCTCCAAGGATCTCCTGACCTCACTGGATGCACTGAGGGACCAGGAAAATAAGAAAGGGACAGAGAATAAGAAAAGACAGAAAAGGGGACAGGGAGCCATATGCCATGTAACCCATTCAGATATTCCAGTTGCACTGAAGTTGATTGGCTGGTTACCTCCTCCTCTTCTTCATCTTTTGCTATCAGGGATTGAACCCACATCCCTAGCCCTTTTTTACTTTTTGTTTTGAGATAGGGTCTCATTAAGTTACTTAGGGCCTTGCTAAGTTGCTGAGGCTGGCCTCAAACTTGCAATCCTCCTGCCTCAGCCTCCCAGGTTGCTAGGTATGTGCCACCATACCTGGCAGCTGGTTTCTCTTCTAAATGAAACCAGTACAGCATGTAGAACGGTGCCTGACACACAGTAGGCACTCTATAAATAGCTACTATTATTCTAAGCCTTTTCCAACCTTTGACTTGCAGGGGCTCATCTGCCAACAGTGATGCCCAGCCCTTGATGTAACTTGAGCCACCTTCTCTAAACAAGATGGCATTGGGGAAACTGGCCTAGTTCCTGAACCCATGAGGGGTGAGACCCCTTCTGGTCCAAAGATGAGAAACATCACTGTGGATAACTCCTCGCTGAGCTGCACCATTGACCACACCATCCACCAGACGCTGGCCCCGGTGGTCTACATCACGGTGCTGGTGGTCGGCTTCCCGGCCAACTGCCTGTCCCTCTACTTCGGCTACCTGCAGATCAAGGCCCGGAACGAGCTGGGCGTGTACCTGTGCAACCTGACGGTGGCAGACCTCTTCTACATCTGCTCGCTCCCCTTCTGGCTGCAGTACGTGCTGCAGCATGACCACTGGTCTCACGGGGACCTGTCCTGCCAGGTGTGCGGCATCCTCCTGTACGAGAACATCTACATCAGCGTGGGCTTCCTCTGCTGCATCTCCATCGACCGCTACCTGGCCGTGGCCCACCCCTTCCGCTTCCACCAGTTTCGCACGCTGAAGGCGGCCGTGGGCGTCAGTGTGGTCATCTGGGCCAAGGAGCTGCTGACCAGCGTCTACTTCCTCATGCACAAGGAGGTGATCGAGGACGAGGACCGGCACCGCGTCTGCTTTGAGCACTACCCGATCGCGGCCTGGCAGCGCAGCATCAACTACTACCGCTTCCTGGTGGGCTTCCTCTTCCCCATCTGCCTGCTCTTGGCCTCCTACCAGGGCATCCTGCGGGCCGTGCGCCGGAGCCACGGCACCCAGAAGAGCCGCAAGGACCAGATCCAGCGGCTGGTGCTCAGCACCGTGGTCATCTTCCTGGCCTGCTTCCTGCCCTACCACGTGCTGCTGCTGGTGCGCAGCCTCTGGGAGGCCAGCTGCGAGTTCGCCAAGAGCATCTTCAACGCCTACCACTTCTCCCTGCTCCTCACCAGCTTCAACTGCGTGGCGGACCCCGTGCTGTACTGCTTCGTCAGCGAGACCACCCACAGGGACCTGGCCCGCCTCCGAGGAGCCTGCCTGGCCTTCCTCACCTGCTCCAGGACCAGCCGGGCCAGGGAGGCCTACCCGCTGGGCGCCCCGGAGGCCTCTGGGAAAAGCGGGGCCCAGGGTGAGGAGCCTGAGTTGTTAACCAAGCTCCACTCGGCCTTTCAGAGCCCCAACTTGCCCAGAGTGGGAGGGTCCCCCACGGGCGGGCTGGCCTAGCCGGGTCACCCACGTAGGGGCTACATGAGCCCGGAGCCTTTAGCCCAGGGGCCTGTGGTCCTGAGCTTGCTCGCAGGCCGCCTCCGCTTCCACATGCAGGTGCCTCTTTCTGCTGGGGGGAATGGTGGGCCTGGGCCGCAGCCCCGAAGCCTGCTCTAGCTGGCCGAGCCCAGGGGCCCTGTTGAGTGTGGGAATAAGCCCCCTCTGCCCCTGGCCGGAGCCGCTGGGGGGAGCAGGACAGTGAACGGTCACTTCCAGGTTTGCCAAGAGCAGTTGGCATGGGGGTGTGGAGTGTGAGGACATGGAGAGTGAGAACCTGGGAGGGGACAGTGGGGACCTGGGTCTTCCAGGGCCACTGTTTTCACAGATGATACCTGTCCAAATGTACCGCTGTTACCTGATGACAGGACACACAAAGCTGTGTTGTCACCATTAACACTTAAGGCCCACTGCTCAATGGGGTGGGCAGGGAAGTCTGGGAGGGGAGAAGGAAGGTGGGGAGGCATCGGAGGCCACGAGGTGGACGTAGGGACGGTAGGGAAGTCACAGGCAGGGGAGAATCCCCAGCTCCAGCCACCCCATGCCTTTACAGGGACGGTCGAGCAGATTGCTCAGGCCTGCAGGACACACTCCAGGGCTCCCCAGAGAGATGCCCGGGGCCTCCAAATAGTCAGAACTGAAGCTCAGGTGTGGGAGCTGGGCCTGAAGCCAGAGCGTCCTCAACAAGTTCCTGACACACATTCCTCCTAATTAGCTTTCTGTGTCCATCTGCCCAGAAGTGCCAGGTCAGGAGTCCAGGGTGCAGAGAGAAGAGTTAAAATGCCAGGGTCTTCACGACAGTTATATGTCAAGACACACAGCTGAGGTTGGGCTCATGGGACTGCTAATGGTGTCCCCTTCCCTGCCACACATACTGTAGAGTGTCCAGCAGTCTCAGGTAGGTGGGCAGCACTTTCTCAGAGTTCTACAACAACCACCCCACACACCTCTCAGCCACAGGCCTGGGGCAGATCTCCACTCTGGTCTAAATGGCTCCTTCGACCAGGAAGAGAGGTGGCCTGGAGCTCACCATGCCTGTTCTCCACCCCTGATCCTCTCCCAGGTGTCCCATCTCATCTACCTGGAGAGGACAGTGGGCCCTCAGGACTACACAGTCCAGGGCACTGATCATCCTTTTCTGTCCTGGAGGGCTGGGTACAGGGCTCGTCTCTCCTGCAGCTTTACACTGGCCATTTTGGGGTGTCCCTCCCACCCCTAGCCTTTGTGGTCCTGCGCTTGCAGATTTCACCTGTTCACTTCTGCTCCCTGAGTGCCCCACCCCCCACCATTAAAGGTCTTTGGAGAACATCTGGGAGGAGTCCCATGACCAGCCTCACCCCCAGGGACATGGCTTCTGCAATGTGCCAAACACAGCCCTGCCCAGGTGAACAAACCAAGGGCCAGAAGAGCCACTTGCTGCCCCCAGGAGACCTGGTTGGGGGTCCAAGACCAGCTCTCCCTTCCCAGGGCATGGGCTTTGAATCCCTTGAAACCAAGAGGCTCAGTAGGCTGAATCCTGGACTAGAACCAGGGGCAGGAAGTAGGTAGAAGTTTTCTGGAATCAGAAGAATCAGTAGATTATTTCTGGAATCTTCTACAGGGTGGGGGAGAACAGCGGAAATGCCATCCTCAAGCTTCCTCCCTCTTCTCCCCAGTCTCCAAGAGGTTGATCCTCTACCCTGTGTTTCCTAACCCTCTGTGTTAGTCAGCTTTTCGTGTCTGTGACTAGAATAACCAGCTAGAGCAACTTAGAGGAGGAGGAAAAGCTTATCTGGGGTTTCCAGTTTCTGAGGTCTCAGTCCATAGACGGCCAACCCCATTGCTCTGGGCCTAAGGCAAAGCAGCACACCATGCGGGAAGGACCCAGCCGCAGAAAGCTGCTCCCCTCCTGGTGGAGTCAGGAAGCAGAGACAGAGAGCAAGGAGGGAGGAGTCTCAGGGACCATGCACCCTTCCAGGACGCGTCCCCAGTGACCCACCTCCTCCAGCCGAGCCCTACGCCCCAGTCAGCAGTCAGTCAGTCCATTCAAACTAGGATGGACGGACTAGAGTCTAGCCCTCATAATCTAATCAGTTTCCCTCTGAATATTCCTGCATTTACAGGTGCCTTTGGGGGACACCTTGTATTCAAACCATAACACCTTCTACCAGAGGTACCCAGAGGCAGATAGCCCGTGATGGATGTGCCCCAGGGAAAGGTGGTGACTGTGGTCCCAGAGCTGCACTTGGCTTTGACTGGGCAGCCCCTGCTCCAGCTCCTTGTGGAGGACCTCCAAAGACCCGGGAGGTCCTCTTCCCCTTCCTGAAGGAGGAAGGGACCAGGTTTAATGGTGACAGAAATACCTGCACAGCCAGGAAGAGCCCAGCCCAGGATCTTTCTGGGGCAATGGCATCAGTTGATCTCTCCTGGGCCCTTTGTCCACTGGCATGGACTGGGATGGACTGAGGGCTGTTCTGTTTACCATCAAGAGTTGTATTTTTGTATCATCCTCTCTTTTATGCCAATTACCTGTGTGTTGGATGGTGTGGTGGATTTATGTAGCATTCAGTCTGTAAATAAAGCAAAGTAACCAGGAGTGGGCAGCAGTAACTTATAGGGGAGGGGGTCTTCCAACCCCAGAGGAATCTAGAGGGTTCTTGGAGCACCCAAGCAGAAGAAGTTCCAGGGACTGACTTTCTCAGAGAAAGGCTAGAGCAATTGGAGGATTTGCTCTTGACCACGCAACAGGTGGTCAAGGTACTTCCTTAATGACCCATGTTGTTGGGGAGACCCACAGTTGACCAGCCTCTTCAGCTGGAGTGTCCTCTAGGCAGTGGTGGACTCCATGTTTATCACCAAGGATTAACTGCAATCCTTGGAAACATATATTTTGATTGTGGCCACTTAATTCTCTGGATCAGGCTCCTGGAGTCCTGGAGTGTTCCGGAAGAGTGGATCCTTCTTCCAAACAGACTTAAGTAAGGACCTTATTGGGGATTAAGATTCTTTTCTCTCCAAAGAAGGGGTGGGAGAAAAAGTCCATCTGGTTTGGACTGAAGGTGGCAGAAGCCATTAAAATTCCTTTCTTATTCACTCGTGTTGCTTAGTGAGACAGGGGCTCATCTTCCTGTTTATACAACCCGTCTGTGAGTTGGCCAGAGAAGAGTGGGAGAAATCTTCACACAATACACGGTGGCTTCCCTCCAGCTGGTACAACCAAAAGAGAGCCAGAATCTGACCCTCTTGGCTCCTCGCTTTTCTGAAAAACCTACTTCTGGCAGCTGGTGATTCTGCGGCTCCATTCCCGGCATTCTTCTGGCAACTCAGTGGCCTTTGATGGCATTCATCCTGGGGTCACGTGGTGCCCAGCGTTCTGGAGACATGGTGGGATTTCAATGCCATTTGCTTCAACAGGCATCAGAGTATTGCTGGATTAGACATTAGATGCCAGTGCCGCGAGGTAACAGGTCAGGACATTCTGGCTCCTTCATTGTTAAGCATCCCCCCCACATCCCTCCAAAATGATGCTTCAGTCTCTCCATGGACACCACCAATGACAACTCACAGGTATCCAAGACAAGTCATCCCAGGGTTTGGCAGAAATATTAGTTCCTAATGAGCCAGAGTATCCACTGGCCTTGATTGTGGCTGCTGAAGCCACGTGGTCTTTCGGGTACCGGGATTTGAAGACAATTCTCATATCGTACTCTCAGTGTTAAACCTTCCAAGCTGGTATTAGGCAGGGCTGGGGTATATTGCATCCAGAAATCACCCGCCCCATCACCGTGCCTCAAAACAATGGGGCACTGCAATGAGGGTATAGCTCAGTGCTAGAGGTGTGCTGAGCAAGCCCAAGGCCTAGCTTCAAAACAAAGTTTATCTCTTGTTCACGCAAAGTCCCATGAGAGGCAAGTCTTTCCCCAAGTTGATCACAGTGATTTAGGATCCTTCTGTGAAGTGGTTCCATCTTCTTGGGGTTTTCTATTCCCATCCACACAGGAGAAAAGGCACCAAGAAAATCCTTCACAGAGGTTCATGGCCAAGTCTGGAAGATGCTACACCAGCAAGAGCTAAGACCCTGTCCCCTGCAGAATGACAAAGGAGGTCTGGACAGAGACCCCACCCAAACTACTTCCCCCAGGTACACTGTATAGAGAGAACTGGAAGTTACCCCGGACCCATTCCCTATCTACCTGTGTTTTACAGGAGTGTCAAATCCAGTGACTCACGTTCCACTGGCCAGATCCCAGTCACATGGCCCCAGGTTAACTGAACTGCAAGGGAGCCCGGGACAGGTAGTTCTCCTGTGCACCGGAGGAAGAGAAGGCCGAATTGGTGAGAATCTGGCCAGTCTTGGACAGATAGCTCTCTTCAAGTCACTGCCACTTAAAGGTTTTGAGCTCTTACTTGTCTGTTCCTTCATTTGAACAAAATCCACTTCTTCAAATATGACCCCCCAGATCTGAAGGGAGACCAGGTGAGTCGGACCTGCCCAGAGGAGGAAAGGACCAGGTTCCGTTTCTTTACCTTTGACAGCATTCCACATGGCCGGCCGTTGTCTATTGAGTTCATGCAAATTACGGGGAAGCCTCGTCTTCACCACCCTGCCTGAGAGTAGTGATTGTGGGGCCAGTGGCCACCTGTGTGAGCAGGAGCAGCAAATGCAATGAGCTGGACCAAGTAGGGCTGGCAGTGAGAAGGACCCAGGCAAGGAGGCAAGAAGTGACCCCAGAGGAATGCCTTTCCCAGCTGAGCACTGGGCATCACTTGGTCAGACAACATCAAGAGGACCAAAGACCCCCAAGCCCTTAGAGGGCTCGCTTGCCTGCAAGTCCCACTTCCTGCAGGGGCTGTATGGAAGGCACTATCTCAAGGTCCCCAGGTCCCCAACCTGCCTTTGAACAGCCAGAGCATCCTGTGTACCAATCACCAGGATTCCCTCCTCACGACACTCCTGGAAATGCCCAGTGCTGCTCAGATGTCCCAAAGTCAAATCTGGGTGGCACCATCTCTAACCCCATAGGACCATTCCCCGTAGGTCGCCTCTTGTCCCCGTCACCTGTTTCTCCAGGCTGCGGCCATGCTTGTCTTGCCATTACTGACGTAGATACCAGCCTTCCCTCAAGTAGAGACAAGACTAGGACACGTTTGAGTAAAAGCAAGCGAAACGTTACTAAAGGTCTGAGCAGGAATCATAGTGTGGAACGGGAAAGTCTTAAAACTGCATCTTGGAAAGCAGAGCTCCAGAGGTCCTCGGGCTGACCCTGCTAAGGGGTCTCCTCCTGACCCTCCTCACATCTCAGCCCTTGCTGCAGAGCCTAGGCTTGCCTGTCCCTGCAGGGGACATTGGGATGCCCCACCCAGAATCTAGAACGCCTTGGTTTTCTCTTCACTCAGCCAGGTCTCAGCCTCTTTCCTAAATTTCTGCCCACGGTGAGGATAAACGAATCCACAGTTCAGCCTCAGCCTGCTCCGTGTTGGAAAAGAATTCCATTACTACTGCAAAACCAAAGGTCCACGCGTGTCTTCCCCCCAAAATGTGATTCAGAAGAACATGGGCATCTTTTCCTCTGATAGCCATCAAGATTTCAAAAATGTCAGGGTACCATCTTCATCAGAGCCTCCCACCCCGCCCCCCATGACATGGAACTCTATGTCCCAAATCAAGGACAAAAATTATAACTGGAGGAAAGGTGGCCAGGGAATTGGGTGTGGGTTCGCAGAGAGCTGTGAGGTCACAGGTGGGGACTGAGTGCCTATTCTGGGTGCATCGCCTGATGCCACACCAGCAAGAGCCAAGACCCTGTAGGTAGAACTCCTGCAGAATGACAAAGGAGGTCTGGACAGAGACCCCACCCCAATTACTTCCGCCCAGATAACACTGTATAGAGAGAACTGGAAATTACCCCCGACCCATTCCCTATCTACCTGTGTTTTACAGGAGTGTCAAGTCTTAAAAAAAAAAAGGAGGGTTAGTTCCTTCTTCACGATGAATGCACGTTAAAGTATCAAACCAGCATGTTGAATAAAATGAAATTAAACAGGCCCAACAAACACTGGGAGGCATCTGGGTGGCCATATGCCCCTCCCCCCAATCTGAATGAGTCAGTGTCACTCAGCAGGGTCCCACACAAGAAGCTGTCCTGGTCCAAGATGCGAGAGTATAATGGGATATGGTTGGTGACTCAGTTTCTGACTTTGTTGGAAAATGTGCAGCTGGAGTTGAGAGAGGGGTAGGGTGGGCTGATCAGAGCTGTCCAGGAGGACTCTGACAGGCCTGCGCCCTGGGCCCTGAGCACCCTTGGGCTCCAGGGGTGAACTGCCCTACAGTGCAGGGAGGCCAAGGGGCCCTGCTCAGGGGTGGGGGTGAGGAGATGGGGAGGAGGTGGCAGTGTCAGGGGTGAAGGGGACAAGACAACCTGGGAGGTGATGGCTGGAGGAATCTCTTGCCTGAGTAAACAAAACGCTATTTGAAAAAGAGCATTTTAAAATCATAAATATTTGGGTGGGTGGTGAGTAATCCTTCCCTAAAGCCTCAAAGCAATAAGTCATTCACTGGGGTCCTCCTAAATGACAGGCAAGAAGCTTCTCTGGGTGGACTTGGCATGGGAGCCTGGAGCAGCCGGTGTGGAGGAGGGTTGAGAGAATGTGCCAAGTCACCAGGAACCAAAGCAGAGACTGGGAGCCCAGAGAAATGTCCCTCCTGGTACTATCTCCTCCTGGGAAGTGGACTTGCAGCTTCCTGGGCCCGTGGTGAGCTTGTGGCTCGCCCAGGACAGTGTTGACCTGCAAGGCTGCCGTGGGAAGAAGCTGGGGTCTCGGGGAACTCTGGATGCAGGCCACTGGGGAGGGACTTGGCATGCCCGTGACATTAAGGGCCACACATGCGCTTTGGTGGTGTCCACCAGCTTCTGATCATCTCAGCGTGGACGCTGTGGAAGGGGAGCCTGTCCACCTCCATGTCCAAGACACCCAAGCCTCCACTCCAGACTCTGTGCTGCATCAGGATGTCCAAAATTTTTTTCTTCCTGGAAAAAGGAAAAAAATAAAATGAGGTGGAAGTAGAAGCCGTGGAGCGGGAGGGGAGAGGGGAGGGAGAAGAAAGAAATGTACAGATCTCTAAGCGGAGGAAGGGCCTTGGACTTCAGATGCCTTTTTCTAAGATATGATTTTGGTTAAAAATACCAGTGCCAGCCTGGGTTTGTGGCTCATGGTAGAGCCTCGGCTAGCTCGTGCCAGGCCCTGGGTTCAATCCTCAGCACCACATAAAAATAAAGATATTGTGTCCATCTACAACTAAAAAATAAAATATTAAAAAAAAATACCAACGCCACTGGAAATCTCACCGTGAAACAGTGTGTCCTACATCATGCCTCATTGGTCCCCAAGCCCACTCCCCAAAGCCACCGCTTGGCTACTTGCAGGTAACCAAATCCGACGCTCTTACAGGCCTGCATCCCACCCCCCCTGGGCTGGGGATTGAACCTAGGGATGCTCTACCTCTAGGCTACACCCCCAGCCCTTTCTGTTTTTTATTTTGAGACAGGGTCTCACTAGGTTGCCCAGGCTGGCCTTGAACTTGGTCCTCCGCCTCAGGCTCCGAGTCACTGGGATTACAGGCCTGTGTGCACCTTTTAACAAACACAAAGAGGCTCTCCTTCTTCAGGTGCAGGGTGGGCTACTTCCTGCCAGCCCAGCCAGAGCCCTGATTGTGCTAACAGGCCCTGTTCCTCCTGAGAGCCACTGCTGGTCTCCCGGGCGGGCGGCATGTGCCAACCCTGCTGCCGCTGCCTTCTAGGCATTTCCCAGGTGCATGGGGGAGCATCTGGGAGAGCAGAGAGAGAGCCGAGAAAATGCAGCCCAGGCCCCACAGGCAGTGGCTCTGGATCGGAGGATCTGGTGTGGGTCTTTCCCGACAGGAGGTCCAAGCTCTTTGTGCCTTGGGGTTCTCATCTGTGAAATGGGGCTGTTGCTGCTGATGGGGGTAGTGACCCCTGTTGCAGAGGCCACCTAAGGGTTTAACGATTTAGTGGAAAGAAAGCTACTCGCACAGCTGTGGCACCGAGTAGGTGCTCACGAAATGAGGCTGATTACTAACGGGAGGCCAGGGCCACCGGCCTTCAGCACAGAGCTTTCTTCTTCGACTCACTGGCTGGTGAAGGTTTGAGCCCCCTCTTTCTTTTCCCCTCCAAAAATAAGGTCCCAAAGAACCACTTGTCTAAGCCACTAACACTCCTGTCGGCCGCTGAACAGAAGGTGGGTCTCAGGAATGTCCTTCCTGCTGCATCCCCCACAAATGCAGGAGGCAGAGGAGGGGCCCCAGGAGCTGAGCCCAGGGAGCGGGCAGAGGTGAGCAGGGCGCTTCCCTTTCTGCGCAGGCAATTGCTCACTCGTCGTCCCCCATCCATCTGCCTGAGTGAGCCCCTGGATGCCGGGCCCTGACCCCAAGAAGTGGGGAGGTGAATGTAACAGGCAGACACAGTACACAGCACAGAGCGGGTCACAGCAGAGACACCCAGCCAGGTTTTTGGGGGTGGCTTAGGGGAGATTCTATGGAGGAGTATTATAAACTGAATGCTTGGGCTCCCCAGATTCATGCTGATTCCCCAATACTCCACGTGTTGGTATTGAAACTGGGGCTTCGGGAGGTAATAAGGTCGAGATGAGGTCACGAGGGTGGGACTCCCGTGATGGGATTAGTAGCCTCCTAAGAAGAGGGACCAGAGCGCTCTCTCCACTACATGAGGACACAGGGAGGAGGCAGCCAGGAAGAGAGCCCCCGCCCAGGACTGGATCTGTGGCACCTTGAAGTGGGACTTCTCAGCCTCTAGAGCTGAGAGAGCTAAAGGTCTGATGTTCCAGCCCCCTCATGTGTGGTATTTTGCTTCAGCTGCCTGAGCTGACAAGACCCAGGGCAAGCAGGGTCAGAGGTCAGGGCAGAGTAGGAAGAGGGCCCTTGAGGACACTCTGGAAAACTTCACAACAATGGGAGGTGCTGGCAAGTGTCACTGAGGAACTGTCTCTCACGTCTGGCCCGAGAGCCTGCATTTCCCTTCTGCCTGGGGCCAAGGCAGAGTCTCCCCGTGGGAGGGAGGCCTTTCTACATTTCCACCTTCTCACGCGAGCTCTTTGTTTGGGCTTTCTCCATTCTCCCCATTGGTCATATCCTCTCTTTGTGGAGAATACATCAGGGACCCTGAGGTCACTTCCTCCCAGCCCACTGGGACCCAGGGAGGGCCTTGGGGTCCTCCAGGTGCGTGTGGTCAGCCAACAGGTTAGGAACCGGCTGGTGCTCAGCTTCTGAGAGCCTCAGGGCCCCCACACCATCTTCTAGGAGGCCAGGTGGAGGCATGGCCTCTGAGGCTGCTGCACACCCAGACTGAGGACAGAGAGGGGACAGAGGACCAAAGCGAGGTCAGTGCACAGGGCTGGGGCCTCACTTGACAGGGATGGGGAAACAGGCCCAGTGTGTGGCACCGCTGCTCAGTCACACTGGAGCGTGGCAGACGGATGCTGTGGGGTGGGAAGCCCAGGTGCACACCTAGAGTCTGAGGTAGGAGGGTCGCCTGAGCCCAGGAGTTGGCAGCCTGGGTAACACAGCAAGACCCTTCTCAATAAAAGAAACCAAAGTTATAAGGACGGATGCTTCGAAAGTACTGGAAAAGAACAGGAGCCCAGGATGAGGTCAGACGCCATGTTCCTGTCTCTCTACGTCATCCATCCATCCATCATTCATCCATCAGTCTGTCCATCCGTCCATTCAACCATCCATCTGTCCGTCCTTTCTCCTCCCACCCTCCCATCCACTTGTTCGTGATCTCTCATTTCCCAAGGGTCTTCCCTGTCAGGCTCTTAAGTAGAACAAATGACATCCTTTGTTTCTCCAAGAGCCCATGTTCCCTCATTGTGCCACTGAATGACGTGTGACTGAAGGGTCCTCCTCTGTTCCCAGTCCAGGGCTGATAGAGTTCTGCAAATGTAGGGAATGTGTGTGCTCACATGTGCCCACTCACCAGGGATGCTCGGTGACCACCTGGAGCAAAGATGGATCGGAGGAGTGGGCCCTCAGTGCCCACGGTGCAGCTGGTGTTATAAGAGGCCTGGTGCTGGGCTCCCCTTCCCTGGCCACCAGGTTGAGGAGGGAAGTCCAGGAAGCCTTTCCTGGTGCGTACCCCAAGAGCCCCACTCTGCTGCCCAGGAAGTGGCCCCTCCTTGTGCTCTCTTGCAAAAGGCTGGCACAAGAGTGGCCAGGATGTGAGGCAGGTCTGAAGGTCAAAGTGCTCCTTAGCCCTTGCCTTTGGCACAGACAAGGCACCCACGGGGCCCGTGGGAGCAGGCTGCCCCTGGTGGAGCAGGATGGGCGTGGAGAGGCCGGGGAGAACCAGCTGGCCATGCTGGCTGGGGAGGCAGCTCATGTGCCTCTGGGGCCACACAGAGGAAAGAGAGGCACCCATATGCTGCCACATGGTGCCTGGAGGCCCAGCTCTGCTGACCCACACTCTGGATCAACTTGGCCTCTTGGCCTTTGTTCTCCACTGGCTCTGGCTGCTCAAACTCTCCTTGGCACAGGCCATCTACTGCCACCACCAAGCCTGGCTGAGGGTCCCCTGACACCTTCCCTGGCCTGACTGAGGTATAGAAAGGACCTTCTCATGATAATGAGGACCACGGCTGGCATTTATCAAACACTGACTACATGCCAGACGCTGCTCAGTGGTTTACACGCCGGACTCCATAGTGACCCAAGGTCAGCTCTCTCGCCATCTCCACCTTCCCCAGAAAGGCGAGCACACTGAGGACAGGGGACCTGTGCGAGTGTGTGAGGCCGAGCCCGGAGCCCAGCAGCCACCACGACACTCACCTGGGGCAGCTTCACATTTTCAAAATGCTCTTAAGTCCCAAGAAACAGAGAAGATGGCCACCAACTGCAGGAGACAGCTAGGTCTCCACACCCTGCCTCCCGGACCATGTGGAATCAACCAACTGCAGATCAAAAACATGTGCTCTTCACATTGCATCTGGACGGAGCAAGGACC